GAGAGAGAGAGAGAGAGAGAGAGAGAGAGAGAAACGAGGAAGGAGGGAGGAAGAAAGAAGGAAAGGGCTAGGAATATAGGTCAGTATTAGCCCTGGGTTTTGATTCCCTATACCACAACACACACACACACACAAACCCGACAGTATCGTAAAGCAGAAGCAATTAGAATAATATGATACAACCACAGAACTACAGGGAAGCTCCATGGAACAGATCAGAAGTCCAGAGACAGGTACACTCATATATAAGGAAGTGAGGAAATAAATTAGTCAATAAGCAATATTGGCATCATTAGAAAAAAAAAAAGTAAATGGCTTGTGAGTGTTGATGGAAGACAGCTTCGAAAGTCTGAAGTGGAAGAATCTAAAGGCAGGGCAGCACACTTCCCTAGAACTCCCAGTGAGTAAAGCGCTACAGCCCCCAGGCACCCTGCTGTACCTGGCAGGCTCTCCCCGGGCTCCTGCTCCCAGCTCCTGACCCTCTTCACAGCCTCTGCCACCCACACCCACAGAGGATTCTGGGAAATTAAAAGAAGTGTGCTTCCTCTGTCTAGGGATTCCTCAATTATTCCAGCTGTAGGAAGGCAACAATAATCTTAATCTGGAGTTATCCAAGATCCAGAGTGAGTCTTACCTGTTTCCTCTTTTCAGGGGGAAGTGACGGATCTCCATCCTACAAAGAAACAAATATTGTATTTTGCTTTTTTAAAAAATATTTTATGTGCACAGACTTCAGCAACTGAACCAAACTATGAACCTGAATTCAAACACCCCCACCACCAGGCAACTAACTAGTAATGAGCACGTCTAAGTTCAGCTATACTTTTTTAAAAAATTAACTATAAACTGAACCAGAATTATTTTAGAAAAGCCACTAGGAAATCAGTTTTAATTAAGACCGACCTTATATATTTTCGAAAACTATGTAAGGTAAAGAAAATAAACCCTCTAGATTTATCAAAGTGAGTTTTGAGCAGATCATAAGCTGAAATAATATTTCACTTGGCTTGAGTTCTTTTAAACAGAACCAAAAGAACAGTGACTGATATTCTCTGCAGGCAGAATAATGGAAAAGGAGATACAATTTGCTCAAAATAAAAGAAAATTAACTGACAACTTCCAGTCCTATTCGGCTTTTTACCTTTTAAGGACTGACTTCCTCTCCCTTTGGTGCCATCTGGGAATACAAATTCCTCAGGTGAATATGCAAGGCACACTCTATATGGATGCTGTATAAACATGAATCTACATTACTTTAATACAAAACACTTTTCTATTCTATTTCTACTCCACAGCACCATGGTGAAACACTAGCAATAGCATCTGCACTTAAAAAAGAGACCACATCAATAAGGAAAAAGGCCAGGGTACAAAAGAGCACTATGCTATTGGTACCCTTGCTTCAGGGAAATTTGCATCCTTAAACATCTTGCCATAGGAAAACAACGGGAAGATCAAAAAGCCCCTCAAAAGAGAAAGGTTATAAAAATTGTGGCTCCCAAATGCCTAGGCAAATGTTCCTGAGAATGTGTTAAGTCTGTACGTGTGGCCTTGAAAGCTGCCCAAATAAAGTGGTGAGCGAAAAGAGACTCTTTTAGAGCAAGGTAACACAACACTGCCAGGTCGAAAGCTCTGCAATGATGAATGTCCTGTATCAGCTCCCAGGACAGCAGCTACCTATGGCCACAGAGCCCACGAAATATGACACGTGACACTGAACAGCTGAGTATCTTATTTAATTCTAGTTAATTTAGCTTAAATTTAAATAGGCACGTGTAGCTGTATTCATGCAGATTTTAGAATATGAATCCTCTTTCAAAATCTTTTTTTTGGGGGGGGGCGGGGGGGGTACCGGGGATCAAACTCCGGACCTTGTGCTAGCAAGGCAGGCAGCAGAACCACTGAGCTAAATCCCTGTCCCCTTAAAATCATTTTTTAAAAGTCCACATGGATGCATGGACAAGGCAACTGCCTGCCACCCATAAACACTTAGGCCATGTGCGCATGCGCTGAGCAAGCAATCAGGAAGTTCGTGTCCACCGGAAGCGGGGCTGGGTTGTGGAGGACACAGGGTAGTGACCGCCACTTCTTAACTTTTCCATGTTTGCATCTCTTAAATCCAATCCTTTTTGGGGGAATGGGCTGTGAAATCTCCCTCTTTCTGCCTTCACAGAGGGCACAGGAAAGTCCCCGTGGTGTCGTACTTACGATCAGCTCTCGGTACTTCTTCTTCAGGGATTGGTGGCGTTCGCGCAGCTGGTTGGCCATGAGCTTAAACTGGTCCCGCTCCTGCTGGCAGGCGTCCAGCTCCTTGGACAGGATGAGCAGCGCCTCCTTCTTACTGTCCAGCTTCCTCTTGCACACCAGGTACTGCCAAGCAAACACATCCGCAGCAGCTCAGGAGAGGCGGGTAGCTTCCCACATGCTGCCTCTGACCCACCCCCTTTCATTTTTAGGGATCGCATCCCCAAGGATGTTTGCCAGTGAGGGACAAAGGTGCCCACAGTGCCTGAGGCGTGGTACACTTGAAACAGAACCCAATTATTGGACATCCAGGAACTTCCACATACTGGGATGGATAACTTAACTAGCAATAACTTAAAAAGCAACGTTTTGGGGTGTTTTTTTTGTTTTTGTTTTTGTTTCTTTCTGTACCAGGCATTGAACTTGGGGCCTTCAGCTTGGGAGGAAAGCAGTGTATTTTTTAAAATTACATAGGCAAATAAATAGCTGAGCCCCAATTTTGTTTAAAAAGGATGTTTATATCCAGATAAGATTATGTAAAATTAAAATTTTGCAAAGTGATATGCAAAGATATTTGATAAGAATTTTGTAAAAATATTGCTGATAATGCTCTCTTGAGTTGCCCAAGTTTTTATTTTCATTTTTCTGTTGCTGCTGTTTTTGAGACAGGGTCTCACTATGTATTTCAGGCTAGCCTGCAACTCACTACGTAGCCCGGGCTGGTCTTAAACTTGCAATCCTCCTGCCTCAGTCTCCTCAGTGCTGGGATTCTCGGTGTGAGTCACCACTCCCAGTTTTAAAAACCCAAGTTTTTACATTTTTCTTTGTTTTTCTGTATTTTCTGATTATTTTCAGGGATAAACCCATATGGCTTCTATAATAAAACATACCCAAAAATGTAATTAAAATAGTTTAATTGAACTATAACTCACACCACTAGACTGTCCCTGCCCACACAACCCAGGAGACACACTCCCACCTGCCAACCTGCACCCTAACGTGGCCCTGATCTGGGTAACTTCTGTGACTCAAATGCAGGTACCCACCACCCAGGAGCCACAGTGGAATCCTCTCCAAACAATCGCACACCTCACTGGAACTCTTGCTTCCTTCCCAGTGATGGGATTTTTTTCATCTCTCCTTCTCCCCACTGCCCTGCACCATGAAATACCCGCTCCTGACAGTCACTCACCACACTGGCCAGGATGGGCCCTGTGAAGAGTCTCCACTGTTACTGGATATATTGCACGGGCTGGTGTTATTCACATATGTGAAATGTGGCACTAAATACCTTTTGAATTTGCCCCGTAAAAGATCAAATTCAGAGCATTCATGAAAACAATTTATAGTTTCATTATACACTGTGACACGAGTACTTTGTCATTATGGACGCTCCCACAAAGCAGACAGAGCATCAGCACTCCCATACCATTTGAGTCAATGGGCTTTCACGGACAAAAAGCATCACTCATATATAGTGCTCTCTCAGAACTGACTGTGTTAAGTTCAACTTCAAATAAATGAAAGGAAAAAAAAAAAAGAGTTTTGTGCATTAGCATAATTTTTTTTTCTTAAAAAAAAAAGTAATTGCTTAGCTTCAAAAACAAAGGGGAAAGAAAAACCATTCTGAGACAGATTTGAGTTCCAAGCGAGGACACTTCACCTTGGATGAATTTTATTCCTGGCAGTAATGAGGCTGGAATCCTGCCTTAAGACGTCCTGGATTTGGAGACTTTGACATTGTCCTCATGGAGGTGAAATGGTTCTGTTGCTACAGTGGTTTCTCAAGAGTAAAATCCCGAATGAGTAAATATCAGAAAAGAGTGGCTCCGAACCTGACTGTAATATCCTAGGGGAAGTATTGAGATTTCACAGGAAAAAGACCATTTACACACAATTTAACAGATCTGCCCTTGTGCCTCCTGTCCTTTTCTCGAAATCAGCAGCCTTGGTTGTCAGTGCTATGAGGATTGGTGGTACAAAGACAGCCACCTTTGTTCCTTCATTTATCAGATTCAGACTTGAGGACCTGAAGACACTGCACTGCGTGTCTTTGATTTTTGGGAAGAAAATCTCAACAGTGGGGAGATGCTGTAAACTGCAGAAGGAAAGTCAGGGTGAAACATCTGGTCTAGTGGAGGTGCCAAGCAAGGGCCACAGTGTTGCCATCTTTCTCCTAAGGTTTCCTCCTGAGGCACTGTTGGTGGAGGTAGGACTTGGAAGCTGTCGGGGAGGTGGGAAGCCTTGCTTCCAGGTCTGCAGGACCTAGGAGAAAACAGGCCCAGAGGCCTTCAGCCCCATGGGCTCCACTGTGAAGAGCAGAGCTCTGCAGCGCCATTATCTGAGGTGGGACAGTTACAGCAAAAGGTAAGAACACAAACACAGTCTGACTAGAACAGTGATGGCGAACCTTTTAGAGCTGTCAATGAGGATGATAATAAACAGTCGACTGTGGCACACGTGCCAGAGGTTCGCCACCACTGGTCTAGAATATGAAGCTGGAGCTACAAAAAAAAAGGGTAGGTAGTCGCTAGTAACCATGCTGGACTCTTCTTTCTTCTTTGTGCTATGGTCTACAGCACTGATGGTCAAACCTTTTATTCTATGTCATTTATTTTTATCAGCAAAAATCATAGGCTAAAACTTCATTCATAAGACTGAGGTGGAGCTGAGTACAGAGCTAACAGAAGACGACTATCCTGGACAGTTACTCGGATCCACAGAGAACACTGCACGGTCCACAGATAAATGGCTGCAGTGTTCAGGTGCTGAGATTTGAAGGTTGTTTGTTACTGATGGTAACTTGGCCCCTGCTGACTAATACATCCACATAAGCAATGTGAGGAGTGGGGTTGGTAGAGATTGTGCTATGTCACCCTAACAACAGGGCCACTGTCATCACATTTGTTTTACTATTAACCCCAAAAGGCAAAGTTTCATGACAAGTGCTTTACATGTATGACCTCCTTTAACCCTTATGACAACACTATGATGTCATAATTACCAATATTTATAACTAAGAAAATGAGGCTAGAAGGAAAGCATTTATGTAATGTGCCAAAGGATTGGGAGAGCCTGAATTTGAACCCAGACCTTTATAAAAGCAAGCCTGAGAAATCCCAATTCTTCACACACACAAACACACACACACCTGAAATCAGAATATTCATGCCATAGGTTACTGCATCTAGCTGGTACATGGAAGCCAGGAAATTTTCATGTGGCTACTTTTCTGAACCTACAGCAAATGAGTACTAAAGGCTTTATTTATGGACTCAACTTTCTCTAAAACTACGGGCTTGCCTCCTCCTTCCTCAGTTGCAAAGCCTGAAGGAAAATGAAAAAGAAATACCAGAGTCCACAAGTGCTTTCTGTGAGGAACCACTTGTGGAAAAAATAAGGTTTATATCTACTTACAAGAAATGGGATAAAACTTAAAGGGCCTCAGGAAGGAACTAGAGTTAGTTTCTCCAAACTGTTTGAGCATGATGGGAGAGTTTTATAAGCTGTGGTTGGACTCAGTGCTTCACTCGACAAACATCTCCTGGGTCCTTCTTTGAGCTGGGCACTGGCCCCAAAGGGGTAAATGGCCTTGTTGAATTTCAGAAAGAAAAAACCTGGTCCCTGGATAAAAACATTTCATTTCCTGTTGTCTGAACTCCAAACCCGTTTTCCCCTCTGGTTGGTGACCAGTGCTGACATGAGGGTGCTCTTGACCTTCAGCCTATTATAGACAGCTAAGCTGGGCAGAAATATTGACTAACAGGCAGTCAGACAGGGCAAGGCCCTCAAGAGTCAGGACCAAGGTAGAAACACATTACAGCTGTGGTTGGAGGGGCATCTGTTGGAGGCCAGGCCTCAAGATAAAGACAGAAGCACCAGGCCTAAGACAAGTGGTAACACCTGCTCTAATGAAGTCCAGATAGACATCAGTCACCTCTTTGGGTGACCAAGACCCTCGGACTCATCCCTTCCTGAAAAATTCTTTGTTCTTTCCATGTATGCTTACTCTGTGACTTGGTTCCCCATTGGATCAATGTTACCTAAGCGACTATACTTACAATCTTACAGGTTGATCATAGCTATTACCCACGCTGTTGTTGTGCTCTGTAAAACTTCCCCTGAGAAGTGGGGTCCTTGGCAACCCACTTTCGGGTCCCCTCCTGCCTCTCAGGAGCTGTATCTTTCCCCTCAATAAATATTTCCTCCTCTGAACCTCCAGTGTTCCTTAGAATTCATTCTTTGATTTGGGGGAACATGAACTCGACATGTTGGACATCTAGCAGGTTGGGAGTTATAATATTTTCCCTATACCATTTGGGAGTCCTGTGTCATTTCCTATTTCAACCTCAGGGTGTGGACAGCCATGAACAAGCCCAGGAAAAGTCAGCGTGCTTCATCACAGCTACTGCGGGCCAGGGGAGGGCACCCAGTAGTCAGTGCCCTCACACAACTCCTTTCAGACGCCCAAGATTCATGCATCGGCAGCACATCTGGAGCCCGGCATTTTGGACACAGAACATGGCATTTATTTGAAGGTCACCCTTGTAAATCTCAACCCAGTTTCAATGACCTATGTGACTAAATTCAAACCTTTCTCAAACAGCAATTGCCCAAATATCTAAGCATCCATTAGATTTCTACATCCTTACCTAGGCCATGAAAAACTAAATGTACGTTAAATGCAGCAAACCTTCAAGTCACCATAATGCTTAGCTGCCAGTTCCCTTTGCCTCCTATTTTCTCAGTCTCTCAGAATCAGCATCAAGAATCTGGGCTAAACCCTGAAGATCCTCCCAAGTAGCTCACCCCATTGCAAAGAACAAGGTTTCTCTCTGCCAGATTATTCTGTAACCGTGTTTTCAAATTGCAGGTCATGATGCATTAGTCTGGGTAGTGAAATCAATTCCCTTGTAACCCTCATTTTCTTTAGGAAAAAAAAAAAAAGATACAGAGCAGAACTCCGGGGCTGCATGCTGTGGAGTACGGGTATGCCGAGACTGTTTCGTGCAACTTTCCTTTGGAGTAGGTGTGCAGGACATGGCGGCACACACACAGGCCCCGATTCACACATTTATTGGGGCTGCACTCTCAAACCTGGAAAATGGCTCTTCTGTAATAAGCCA